AATTTCTTCAACAAAATTTTGCAAAGAGGCTTTTTAGTTTGAAATTTCGATTAATTAGCATATGAATGTAAATTCGTGTTTATCGTCAGCACACTTTTGAATTTTGGCACCAGTTGTTTGCTAAAATATATGTGACTGCTTGTTTAGCCATCAGATGTCGAAAGCAGAACAATGCAGCTCATGGAATCGGTGCTGTCACGCTTGGAGAAATGTGAACAGTTTGCAGTGCGCATAAAGAAAGGCATTCCTGTGGAGAAAGGCTTACAAATAACACAAGAGGTGATTTGTTTTGATTTGAATTTGTTTAGAACGTAGGGAAATTTTTCGTAAATTCAGAAAATTAGCAATTTCTTTCGCCAGTGCAATAAGCTTCAGAAAGCGGCGAGGCCGGCCGCCTCCATGGTCTAGTATTTTTCGGTACCCATATCTGGTCGTTAATTGAATTTTGGGCCAATTTTTTGTTTAATTTTGACGCTTCTGTTTTTTCATTTTTTATTAATTTGTTTGTTTAAAAGTTTAGGTAATCATTATTTTTCGGCAAATTCCCTTCTTTCCTCAATGTTTTTCTTGTTATCATGAAACTTGTAGCTCCACATTCACTCTTTGCATGGAGTCAATAGTAAAAAGCCCGCCCGGTGGCACATTCCAGCCACAGTCAATCACTTGCTGGCAAAACAATGGAGTAAGCCGGCAACGATTTTCGGGCATGCCCCAGTGCCAAATTGCCATCAAAATTGCACAGATTACCATTAGTACGAATGAATTTTAGAGTAATTAGGTGTTCCAGTGGCGGATTTAGACCTCAGGTTTCAGCATCTGAACGACACTTCCTGCCATGCTTTCAGCCAAAAATTCCTTTTTTGTAAATATCTTTGTTGTCCATGTTAAAGAAGCGTGGTGTTAAAGAAGCTGAGAGCAGTTTATGGGCGTTTATTTGAATAAACTTGAAACTGATGTAAGGTGGAACTGCATCTGCCCTGCAGATTTTCCTGAATACAGTCTCAAAATTTTAACTGACGAAAAGAAAGTCAAATAGGAGATCCTGGGCTCTAAGTTATTTTGTGTCCAAATCTAGGGCACTCAGATCCGAATTCGTCATGGTTAATGTATGCAGAGTGCATGAAGTTGCTAAATATTAACATTATTATATTTTTGTTTATATCCTTGATTTTCAGCATCTCTTCCATCTTGAAATTTCCCTTTCCAGGTTGAAAATGAGCTACGGAATTTGATGACAACTTTGGGGAAGGCAGCCGCTATCTTGGACGGTGTCTGCGGTATTGCATGCATCCAACTTAGCACTCTTACAGGTCTAATAATAACTGCACACATAAATTTTTGAAAAATAAGAAACATACTACTACATATGTGCTTAAATATATTTGTACCGTAGCGTTTGAGTGCATATGTGTCTATATGTATAACTATATACATATGTATACGTAAAATTTTAACTATTCCCTGTTTGTATCGCACATACATGTAAATTTTTTGGGAATAATTAAAATTGAATCAGGTCTCATTTTAAATTAAAATTTATCATTCACTGCGAAAATAAAGGGGAAGGGATGGAAACGGAGAGCTTATTTTAAACATTTTTCCAAACATTGCTCTCATCATTTCATTATTTTCGAATTCTTCCTCAGATCAGTGAAGTGGGAAGTATTACTAATTTTAAGTTGGAGATTGACAGTTTTGATTTCAGTAGTGCAAATCAAATTCCCCGATTACCCAGATTTGTTTTGGTGGTAAAATGGTACTGGTATGTAACAGAATCGAACTAACACCGTTTTTTTAAATAGCCTTCAGAAGGTGCACGAACTTTTCCATTTGGCGGTTACTACAGAAAGCGCGATATCGCTTGAACTACTTCGAAGTTCTGTTTTCCCTAAAGATTAAAACTTATTGGGAGGTTCTGACTTTTTTTTTTTGTTCTTCCGGATGTCCTGGACAACTTTACGTGTACTTTAATGGGATTATTCGTCTTTTTACATTCAAGGTTTTCTTTTGCTTTTGTCTTCCAGTACGATTTTGCAAGACTGTGCACTTTTAGATGCAGAAGGTTTGGAAGAAAGTCGTATCCAAGAAGCGCTTTTGTACTCGGTCGAAAAAATACACGGCTCCGTAAATGGATTAAACGCTGAGCAAATACTGAAGTAAGCTTCCTTTCTGCTTCATCCTTCAGCAACTTCTGTAGTGATTAGCCTACGTTTGTAGTGATGTTGTTGATTATCATTTCGAGACAGGTAGCCTGGGATTGAAGGAGTAGGCTCAGTTGCACTGGATACGTAGTAGCGTGGGCAGGATTATCTTGGTGGCGCAGGTGCAGTGACGTAATAATCCATCTTTTCCCACTTGCTTCAGGTCGGATGTCTGGAACACCGTTCCCCTAGCATGCCATGAATGTAGGCGTCCAGCATTATTTACCTCGAAACTGAACTATTGTGTCCCTAAATGGCTGTTTTGTCATAATAATCGCAACGAGAATTATGGATGACGAGGGGAGAGGGGGGAGGGGGTGTTAAAGCAGTTAGCACAACCGATTCAGTGGGCTAATAAAAATGATTTCAGCGATTATCTGATATCCGTGCAAAGCACTGTTGCCGATTTGGTGAGCAAACTTGATACCGAAGAATTCAACTGCGAACTAACAGAACAGGTTTTATTTTTGTGATAAACTTACATAAAAACAAATGTAATAAACCGAACATGTGGTTTTGCGTACCACAGAAAGATAGCCAGTGCAGAAGTTTGAGTTTGGGACCTGTGATCATTGCTCAAATTTCGAAAATAAGTTTTGGTTTTGGCTTTGATTTGCTGGATTAAATCACGGACAACCCAAGATTTTAGTGCACATCTTTCTGGAATTATAACTTCAGGCTGCGTTTCGATGATGTTATTGTAGTCCAGAACACAACAGGATCTGCTCCCGGTGTTTCTTCGACATACTAGCCTCCCACTCTTTGTCTTCGTACATTCTCCAGCGTTCACTCCTTATAGCTTTCTCAGTACTGAAATAGTTGTTAAAAACTTGGAAAAACCCAAAAGCTGATTTCAGCTTGCTCTGCCTAGAAGTCCTGAATGTTAACAGCTTTTAAGCCTTTCTTTGTTCTAACAGACAAATGTGCTTAGTTTTGATTTCTCTCACAGGTACCTGCATATATAAGCACTAAGAAGTTTGAGTGTGCTTGCTTTGATGTAATTTCGCCTTTCCCACCTGCCCGAATTTTGCCTTGTTAGGCTTACCGGCGGAGATACAGTGAGCATTAGGTGTTGCTGTTTGTCATATGGTTAAACATTAGCTTAATGGAATGGATTTCAGCCTGCTTATGCTCTTCTTGAACGCGCAAATGCGCGAAAACAAGACGCAGTTGAGGCGGAGAAACTTCGTTGGCAGCTGGAAAAGAAGGAAATGGAAATAACAGAACTGAAAATGAATCTTCGCACTAAACTGGACGATATCAGCAATTATAAAGTATTTATCTTTATTTTTTTGCAATAGCTTAAAATTTTTGAAAACGTGGAACTTATCTGTGCACTGTACTGATGCGTTGTGGTATGCTGCAGCAAAGGGAGTGTGTG